CTCCCACATGCCCCAGGTTATAGTACTGTCCAACTGCGCAACTGGGAACAGCAGCCAGGATCAAACTCCGCAGCCAGACGGAATCGAACCGGTGACCTTGGCCGTATAAGCCGGATGCCTTTACGACTGCGACTGTGACCCAGTGTTCGAAACTGAAGCCATTCCAGTCGTGACCGTGGGGAACGGGCAGTAGCGTAATACGTCCATAAATGTCTTAGCGCCAGTACAGCCTCCTGAACTGTCTTGTTTTTTTTTTTTTTTTTTTTTTTTTTTTTTTTTTGGGGAAACCCTTGGCTTTTTTCTAGAGGGGGTGATACGAGTAGGCCTCACTAGTAGTAGCCTCCAGCTGCTCCATCTATTGGTGGGGAGCTGCACCTGCTGGAAAACGGGTCCAGCGTCCCTTATACATTCAGAAAGAACTCATTATCCAGATCATTGTGTTGTGCTGCCTAACTACCCCAAACTCTTTGGGGTTTTAATTGTGAGCTAAATCTGCCTCTTCAGCCCTTTTTGGCCGCCGCCTGTTTCTATTTGTAACCACTAGCAGTCTAGCTGCTCTTCCTGGACATTCTTCAGACTCTTAACCCTCAGGCCTTCCATCCATTCTGCACTTACTCTCGTCCTCCCCCGCTGTCAGACTTGCTTTGGGGGCGTCTCGTCTTCTATTCCTTGTCTTCTCTCATTTCTCTCCCACATACCATGCTATCCCTACCACTTCTCTCATTTCTCTCCTCCATACCATGCTATTCCTACCAGGCTGTTAGCCGGGGGGGGGAAGAATTCCGGAAATTTATCACTCGGTCGCCTTGGGATTGAGTCGTCCAGCTTGGTCCAGTCGTGGAAGAGGAGTCTGTAGTCTCTGGTTATACCCTTGTCTTGTCCCCCTTTTTCCACTTTCCATTCCACCTTTCTTATCCTCCCCCTTGTTTCCCCCCCAAGAGAGCTTTTGCAGAATTGTTGTATCCTTTGCTTTATTTCGTTCAGTACGTGTATGTGGCTGATTTGTGATTCGACTTCCTCCCACCGTGTTGTTATGTTTGCGTGAATCTGTTGTTGTATACTCTGTGTAAAATCCGGCCCTCGCAACCTCACGCCCTCCATCTCATAGGTGCATCGGTGTCTCCAGAGTGCCAATGGTACTGCCCTGCATCCCAGTTTGAACATGTTGAGAGTGAAGTCGTCAGGCTGTTCGGTGGGCCATCTCTCAAACAGCAAGGCTTTCCAGTCCCATGGCCGGGGTGCCCCTGTTCCAAGCTGATCCCAAACCTTATCCCACCATCGGCAGAGCCAAACCGCTCCAGAGGGAGTCCATGCAATGAAGGATTTGAACCCTGGAGTTCGTTATCCCTCTATTCCCACATAGCAGTTGTCGGGCTACCTCTTCCCATCTTTCTGGTTGGGGTTTGTCCGGCAGGGGGAGGTTCCTCCATATCTGTAGAAGGGTTGGCCAGAGGGGGTCGTTGTGTAGGTCCTCCCTTGCCTCTTGCCTTGGTGAATCGGTCGGGGGGGTTTCTTGTCGGGACCGTCGTCTCGGGATTGGCCATTCCCTATTTTCAAACCACATGACCGGGTTGATGTGGGCCGGTGTCTACAGGGCCAGTCTAGAGATTTGTTCCACGGCCAGCTCTTTCCATGGGATGTGTGGGCAAAAGAGCAGGTGTTTGAGTCATCGTATGGCCAGTGCCTTGGTTGTGTTGTCGGATCGATCATGCCCAATCCCCCTTTCGCTCTGGTTGGATTATTGCCTGCCATGCAACTCTGATGATCACGTTCTGTTTTTCATGGTCACCCCGCCATAGAAACGCGGCTAACTGTCACTGGAGGGGGCAAAGGGCGGCCTTGTCCAACCCCCAGATGGCTGACCTATACCAAAGAGAGGCCCCCCCACATTGTTAATCACCAAGGTCCTACCGATTAGTGAGGTGTGCTTGTCTTTCCATAATGCTAGCTTCTCTTGGGGGGGGGGGTGGATATCCATTCATTGCTGGTTGATGGTTTATCGTTAGCTGTCAAAGAGACTCTCAAGACTTTGATTGGGGCCTCTTGAGGTAGCCACCTCACCCTCGGTTGTTCCAAGGGTCTTACTCCTTGGTGATGGATCCACCATTCGAGGATCTTGTTCCCCCAGTTGACTCTCATGTCGGATAGGGTACAGAATCGGTCCATCATGTGCTGGACTTCCTCCATAGACTCCTGGGTTGCGTCCACCATCAGGATAAGGTCGTCAGCGAACATTGCGCAAACCAGGATGGCTTCTTTTGGGATCGAGGATAAAAGCATTATTTTGATGTCTTTGTGGGTCCTCAGGTTTGCTGCAAGCTCCTCCATGATTATGACAAAAAGAAATGGGGCTAATGAGTCACCTTGTCTCACGGATCTTTGCAGGTTGATCGGCGGTGCTAGGTTGCCGTTGACCATGACTCTAGTTGTTGCATGTTTATGCAGGATTTCACCCATCGTCTAAAGCGTGGTCCAAAGTTAAGCTTTTGCAGACATTTGTCGAGGAATGTCCAGTCCACGTGGTCATAAGCCTTTTCAAAATCGATGAGGATGATTGCAGCGTTTCGTTTAGACTGTCTTGCTGTCTACTTTTTTCTTTTTCTACTGTAAGGAATGGACTATCTACTTATGTAAAGTTATGTCCTGAAATTCCGGCCTGTGGCTGAATATGTCATCAGACGTATCAAGGCCTCCAACCTTTGTGGATATAATTAACGATGTAAGAGGCTACACTTCTAGGATTGGGAGGGGAGGGGAAGAGAGAGAGAGAGAGAGAGAGAGAGAGAGAGAGAGAGAGAGAGAGAGAGAGAGAGAGAGAGAGAGAGAGAGAGAGAGAGAGANAGAGAGAGAGAGAGAGAGAGAGAGAGAGAGAGAGAGAGAGAGAGAGAGAGAGAGAGAGAGAGAGAGAGAGAGAGAGAGTTTTGCTGATATAATCAAATTATGTAAGGGGTTACTTCCAAATATCTAGTGTCAGGCATGTCGGGAGCATATTTTCTGGCTGTGACAGACCTTTCTTTGTTTTGTGGGTGGTTTTGCTGGCTTGTGATGGGGTGTGAACCTGCAGTCCGTAGAGTTGTCCGTCTGGTGTGGGCGAGTAATAGTCTGCTTTGATTTTCATCACAGGTACCTTGAGGGCAGTGGTTGGTGCCCACCTCAGGGTATCAGTTGTTAGGTAGTCGTTGATGCTAACCATAACCGGGGTTAAGATGGATTCTCACTCACAGCATCATCGCTTAGAGGACTCTGTGGACTGTATAGGGTTCAAGCTCCTGATAAGTAGGTAGCTGAAACTCCAACAAACAGTCTGTCACACAGCTCCTACTTTGTTGTCCTCTTCTCTCTCTCTCTCTCTCTCTCTCTCTCTCTCTCTCTCTCTCTCTCTCTCTCTCTCTCTCTCTCTCTCTCTCTCTCCCCAGTTTACCAGGCAGTTCTGTTTGGTGATATGTATATACTATTATATACATTTATCGTCAGAGAGAGAGAGAGCTTTTTTGACATAATTATTTATGTCAGGGGATACTCCCGAATAGAGAGAGAGAGCGAGAGAGGGAGGGAGTTTGTGCTTGTGTGTAACGTGTGTGGGTTGTCAAGAAAACGAGTTGAAAGGGGATATTCCCTTTTCGCCATATAGAAGGTTGGCAACCAATCATCAACGGAAGTCCACAGCTAGCATGAATTGCCCACACATCTCTCACTTCATTCGCACTTGCACAGAAACAACGAATTCCCACAGAAAATCGAATCCACAGCTCCTCACTCCTTCCCACAACCGAGAGACGAGGGAGTCAAAACAATAGACCCGCAACTGCAAAGCAATAGACCATAAGAACATTATGCGACAATGGAACGCTACAGTGGACCATAAGAACATTATGTGACACCAGAAGTACTCCTCTCTAGAGCACTACCGTCTTCACCCAAATACAACGTACGGTCATTATAGCTGTATTTTGTGCAACTTTGAGGCAAGATACAACAATAATGAGGGTATGCTGTATTCAGGTGAAGGCACTACTCTGATAATGCCATGTGCTTGGAATGATACAGTACATGGGAATCACAATCTTTTTCTTTTTTCTTTTTTTTTCTTTTTTTTGGGCTTCCCGATGGACCACGGATCAGATATTAAACTGATCAGAACAGATACTATGCTTAATACAATTTTATTTTGCGGAGCTGTGTTTAACAACTACAAAACACAGTTTAACACACACACACACACACACACACACACACACGTGCACACAAACACACACACACCCAACTGCACACACACACACACACACAGAGGGAGGGAGGGAGGGAGAGATTGTCAGATGGTGATGCATCCAGCAAGTCGTGCCTGTCTCATCTTCCTGCCTGATGTGCTCCTTTTCTGCTATGTTCAAACAATTGTTTACTTGATGCATCACTTTCTGACACTCTCTCTCTCTCTCTCTCTCTCTCTCTCTCTCTCTCTCTCTCTCTCTCTCT